GTATATTCATTTGCGCATAGCTGCCTGTGGAAGCCTTAGACTTTGGATCCCAGTGGAGTTGGAGTTGTAGGCATCTAGGGGTGCCCTGACCTTGGTGGATTCTTTGTCATAGCAGATGCTCTTAATCATCGAACCATTTCTCTAGACCCTTTTATTGGAATTTCTAAATCAGCACAATAATAGGAACTATTCAAATCTTGTTTAGTTTAATACTGTCTGTGGTTGAAGTTTCTATTATGTATCAGTTCTTCTTTTGTCCCAGTATAAAGAAACATCATTTGAAGTGGTATACCAACTAGGTTTATGTTATTGCTTAGTTCACAACTGGCGAAGGCTGACTTTTTTCACTTTCCCGAGAGTCATCTTACAATTGTACTAAATATGCCGTATTTTCCAACACAGTCTATGATTTTCCATGGGCTCTTTTAAGGAGTATACTTTTCCCACATTCTTTAAGCTAATGAGAAAATTTTCCTTGTCCATAGCTAAATAGAGCCCGTGCTGTGGAAACAGTCAGAACCACGAGAGGCAATTCTGTTTGTGTTCTGCATTTATACTCAGTAAAGAAATGAGAAATTGGTCAGTGCCCTGGAAGGTAGAATGGGGAAGATGCTGCTACATTGGCTTTTCAAAGCCCACTTTTCACAGTTTATGTGGAACAAGCTGTCTAGGCCTTCCGTAATGACTATAAATAAATATTTCCCCCATGGCTCAGACTTGTTTAAGGTCTCCAGAGTATTTTTGAAAAGCTAGGCTTCATAGGCTGAAAATGTACCATAGTCTGGTACTTGCTTAGCAAACATTAGTCCCAAGGTTGTATCCTCCAGGTCACAGACACTGGGTGTGTTATCTTGGGTCTGTAATCCTTGAATTCAGGACAAGAAGGCAAGAGGTTTCAGAGTTCAAGGTCATCCTCACCTACATAGTGAGTTTAATGTCAGCCTGGGCTACAGGAGACCTTATTTCAAAACACCAGCAAAACCAACCAGTCAAACAAACAACCACCAGCAGCAACAGCAGAGTCAAAACCAAATAAGAAAACAACGACAAAAAAAAAATTACACAAAGAATTCTGACTTTAGGTAGAATTTGAGTTTTGAAAGTGATTTTTTGCATTTATTTATTTATTATTGTGTCTGCATGCATGTGTGCATGCATGCGTGAGTGAATTTGTATGTATGTGTGTGTGTACATGTATATGTGCGTGTTCAAAAATTTGGGTAGTTGATTTTTGTCCTCTCATAAAGCTTGCTGAGTTAAGGTCAGGCCATCAGGCTTGGCAGCAAGCACCCTCACATTCTAAAGCCTCACAACAATTTGAGTCTAGCTTATTTTTCTCATACATTTCAAGCGTCTCTATCTTCTGTTCTCTCATGCACATGCCATGATCTTTGATAAATGCTCGAGAGTCATTCCAGGCACAACCCATGAGGCTTCATGCTTGTTGGGGACAGGGTGTCACTTCAGTGGTATAATCACAAGTTGTCCTTATTCTACTGAAGAATAGTTCTGCTAACCTGGGTACAAGGTCCTTTATGTGGCTCACAGTGAGGTGAAAAGACACTTGTGATGATGAAGCTACCCCTTAACTGAGTGATCAGAGGGAGAGGAATCAGCATCTGAGATGTTCTTCGGGAGTAGTTCTCTACTGGGGTTAAACACCATCGTCCCCTCTGCTCTGGGGTGACTTGCAGCTCCCCCTCTGTTGCCTTATCATTAGGAGCTGACAGACAGAATAACTGGAAACTGAAGGTGCCTCCTCTTTCATAGTTCTTCAGCAACAGAAGAACAGAAATTGGTAAACAATTCAGGTTTACCACTTGGTGTTCCTTCCAGCAGCTGGGTGAAACTTAACACTTATTAGGTATATTTTTGCTTATGAATTAGAGCTGTGGACACAAAATATGGCTCTTATTACAAAAGGAGTGAGTTAATTTGGAGACACATACTATGGCTCAGGAACATGAGCTGAATGTCATGCTCTGGTGGAGAAGTGATCGCATGAGCTTTTTATGGTCGTAGAACAAAGGACAGTCATGAGTCGATGCATGTCCATCGATCACTACAAAGCAGGAACTCTCAGATTCCCCTGCCTCGGCCTTCCAAGTGCTGGGATTAAAGGTGTGTGCCACCATTGCTCAGAAACCAAGGCTTTTTAAGAGAAACGTTTAGAAATGGTTTAGGGTAGAAGGGACTAGAGGAGCCTAGGAAAAGGAGAGTATGTTCCCAAGAGGTAGGATTGAACTTCTTTGTTGTAGCGAGTTCGCTTGGTTGTTCAGGCTGTTGAGCAGCTCAGGCCCAAAATAATCACACGGAAACTATATTATTTAAATCATGTCTTGGGCAATCACTTAAATGTATTGCTAACTAGCTCTTACATCGATTTTTAACCCATTTCCAGTATTTTACATTTTGCCATGAAGTTTATGGCGTACCGCAAGGTTCCGGTGTCTGTCTCTGGTGGGGCTCCATGGCTTCTCTCTGACTCTGCTTCCATTCTCCCAGCATTCAGTTTAGTTTTCCCCACCTACCTAAGTTCTACCCTATCAGGCCAAACCATTTTCTTTATTAACCATTGGTATTCTCAGTATACAGAAGGAATCCCTCATCACTTCTTGAGAGAGCTACTGGCATTTTTTTCTTGGTGCATCCATCCTTCCTTAGGTGTAGCTTAGTCAACCTGATTTAGCGAGTACAGTCAATTCCTTTGGTTTCTTTAGAATTTTGATCATCTTGTTGTCACATGTATCATTCTGTTTTATTCACTGGCCTAGAGTTATTATTATTGAATCCTATTTCCTGTCCTTTTCACTTCATCTTCACTTCACTGGCCTTAATCTTAAGACAGAAACTCACATTACAAAGCAGAAAGTGAAAATGTGCTAACGCAGGTTTATAAATATGCTTTCCATGTAATAAATAGGTCTGTGGTTCCTCTCGGATTAGAACTTATTGTAAAATAGAATTTGAAGATTATCTTCAAGGAGTTTTCTTATCATTCAAGTCGAGCTGATCAGTTAATGATTTCAAGATCCCTTTGACACATTTCTGGTACAGCGGTGATAAGTAATGTCAACCCCCTTTTTCTGTATAGCTGTTCCCCCTGTTACTATTAATCTGAACACTGAAGTCTAAAATTAACCATGTCTATGAGGGGCAGCAATTACAGCCATCCATCTTCCAAATGAGTCAATGTGATTTCTACTGATAGTTTAAATTTATGTACAGTGGAAGCCCAGACTTACATAAAGGGCAGTGGGATCTTCTCAGGCCTACACTGCAAAGCAGTAAGTCTTTTGGGGCTTTGATAGTGAATTCTATCTGTGAGGAACTTTTCCCCTTGGGATGTAAAGATGCATGTCTTAGCAACCTCCTTTTGTAAGTTTTAAATGAATTAAATTAATTCTAAGTGAAGCTAATTTTAAATGAAAAGTATGTCTTCTTTCACGAATACCTGTGCAACAAAGGTCACTTTTAGCATGTTCAAAAGGCAATGGTAGGTGTTCCAGCTGTTGGGCTGTGGGTTATAGTGGAGGATTACTGTAGTCAGAGGAAAGATGTGAAGAACCCAGTGTACTCTGGTTTTGGGAAAGGTTTTGGGGTTGTGGAGTTCTTTGTCTTTTACAGTTTTGTTTTTGATGCAGTTGCTCTCTGTCATTGCTGGAGACGGTGTCTTTCAGTCACAGCCAAAGTGACGAACTTTTGATTAGGAGAGTGAGGTGAATTTAATGGTCTGAGGTTTACCACCTGTTAGCTGTTACTGCCTGCCTTAGAATTCCCCAAGTTTCTCCAGTGATCTCCATGGAAACTAAGCAAATAAGCCACTTGAAAGGAGGCAGGTTATTGGTTTTTCTCATTAAAGCCACTGCTAGATTTTCATTAGTTGTAATCCATTTTCTTTACAGATTAGACATACTGGCCACTTATTTTCCCGATTTGAGTAAACCCTATATGTTGACTTGTGTACCCTTTGTAGATGAGCTGAGAAGCAAATGTAATCATTTTCCCCCTGCTTTATAGTCACATCTGAAAGTAAACAAGAGAGGCCGAAAAATGGCCGATGTGAAAGGGGAAAGGCCACTCGCTCTGTGAAAATCAGGCCATTGAGCAAAATGGAAGGCTGAGCGTGGGAACAGACTAAAATGATCCGTTTTGTATTTCAATTTCCCCCACTTTAAAATTGTAAACTGTGATTGAAAATAATATAAATATTGTACAGAAGAGCCGACCCCAGACCTCCACCACTATTTAGATCTCAGTAAACTTGTGTGTTTGATTTGCTGTAGTAGACAGCGTAGACATCTTTAAAGTTAAGACTTAAATTCAAACTTCACTGTTTTGAATTTGTGCTGCAAAGAAAGTTTTCACACTCCCTGCCCCCTTTGCAATAAGGCTGTCAACACTGTTTAGATTGTAGTTTTATAAATTGAAGTAAAGACTCATTATATATAATGTTTGTGAGTCTTTTCTTATCTTTTGTTTTCTTTTCTTTTCTTTTTGGGACAGGGTTTCCCTGTGTAGCTTTGGAGCCTGTCCTGGAACTAGCTCTGTAGACCAGGCTGGCCTCAAACTCATGGAGACTTGCCTCCTCTGCTTTCTGAGTGCTGGAATTAAAGGTGTATACTACCAGGCTGAGCATATATACATACATGTGTGAGTGTGTGTGTTTGTATGTATGTGTTTATACATATATGTTATTTTTAAAAGGCATATATATAAATATATGATTAATTTAAAAATCACATATCATATATATATATTTATATGAAAGCTTCAAAGCTTTGGAGCTCAACCCAGTAGAATGTACTGAGGTTTCTATTGGTATTGAATTTTTCGTAAGAGTAGTGCCAACAGAATATCACTAACAATTAAGATCACACGTGTCATGGCAATTACATATTTCACCCTTAGCACTTGCTTCTTCAGGTGCTTTTCTCACATGGAGAAAATGTGTGTAGAATGTAATCGAATGCAATAATGTTCCTCCCTTCCTTTTCTAGGTGGCTGTACTTTTGATGATGGGCCGGGAGCCTGTGACTACCACCAGGATTTATATGATGACTTTGAATGGGTCCATGTCAGTGCGCAGGAACCCCATTACCTGCCCCCCGAAATGCCTCAAGGTAAGCTGTGTTCTCCTAACTCAGTGTCCAGGGAATAGTTTTAGACTAAACAGTATTTTCTTACTTTATATCTAATTTATTATTATTGGTACTTCAAATCTAATTTATTATTATTGATCCTTTTGGTAACATCTAAAATTCTTAAAATACTCTTTACCTCTTCCTTAACAGTGTTTTATAACGTCTCCTCTATTTTTCAAGAATTCTTATTACATCTTTCTTTTCACTTTGGAGAAACATCTGTAACTTTGTAAACATTGCTTTTACTCCCTTAATAAGAAGTAAAATCACTAAACCTGAAAAAAAAAATCACAGAACAAGCAAAATTTATAGGAAAAATATAATGAAGTTTAGTCATTTGGAATATCTTCGATTATATTTCACTTGGTCCAGGTAGACTGTGGGCAAGCCTTCAATAGCCTATAATCAGGAGAGAAATTGTCTCCTTCACCCCCAGAATATGAGTATGGTACTGGCTCTGTAGAGAGACCCCCTGGAGTCAAAACTACCAAGCTGAGATGTTTTCTGAGTAGATTTTGTACCAACAAGGCAGAGGCCTGTTCCTTACTCATCTAGAACTTTTAGGGATTGATATTTGATTTTTGTGGTAGTATATTTCCTGATTGTTTCGGACCGGTCATGATTTTTTGTGATCTGTGAAAACCACATCAAGATGTATCATATCAATATGTATCTTCCACATAATAAATTATGGGACTAGTATTTCTTTCAGTTCTACATATTAATTCTAAATTGTGTATTTAACAGTAACTTGATTAATTATAAAATCAGAAAGAAACATAAAATTTGAATCACGATACCTAAATGAACAAATGATCTTTAGAAAGAAACAAATAATTATATATCCAGATCACATTCCTACATTATGCTATGAATCATTTAACTGATACATTGATTTTCTATTAATAATTTCTTTGGGAGTATAATTTTAGTATTTTATTATAATTAAATAAAGACGGTTTAAATTGATTTCTTTTCCTACAAATTCATAATGTCCTCCATAATTGATAGTGAATTTTAGACATCACCATTTTAAGTGCAAAATATCAATTCTGGTTACTGATTAAAAAATCTTGCTAGTTCATATGATTCATAGAAACAAAGGAAAAACCATTGATGATTATCAGCAGAATGTGATAAATAGTCAAAGCAAATAAAATAAAACCCAGAACATGGATCTCTAATGAGGACTGTAAATAAATACAGTGAGTATATTCTTTGGAAATATTTTGTATGGTTCTATTTTGTGCTGGGGGCCTGGATTAGGTCTGCTTTTTATTTTGAACTGTAGCATTCCCTGGCTGAGTAAGCAAATGGTTATTTTGTGGTTAGACTAAGACATAATCTTCTTTGTGGAGGAATACACTGATGGGCAGTCTTTCGTGGACAAACTTGTCTTCTTCAGCTTGACCCTGACACTTTGGCAGACTCCCTACATCCTGTGTGTTGGTTTGCATTCTTCTTTCAAAGGCACATAAATTATTATTCTGGCTCATTTTGATTAAAGAAACCACTGTACGTTTTCACTTGAGTTTTCTCAGTGGTATATTTAGACTTAATATTTCATGTATATTAAAAAGAATGTGTGCCAGAATGCACACATTTTGACTGTTTATCATCAGAGAATAATCAGAAAGACGTTGATTTATGGAAATGTTGCCATTACTAATTGCTGTTGATGGTGGGTAATGAGTGCTGAAGAGAATGTTCAGATGACCTTGTTGACTCACCTTTCACACAATCACTTAATCGCTGGTTACAGTAAAGGATGATATGCACTGAAAATGAAAGTGTTTGAAATTCAGCCATATCCTCCAATTAATAGCACATTAAATAATTAATCATGCAAAGGAGGGAAAAGGTCACGAATACTTTTCAGAACGTAACTTTGTGTGGTCTGAGGAGAAGTGAGAGAGGCCTTGTGTTGTGTGTTCCTTTAATTTCTTTTCTATGCTTGTGAGTGTACGTGTGTGTTCGCATGCCCATGAGAATTTGTGCTGGTGGGGGCAAGAGGACGATCCTAGGTGCTGCTCCTCAGGAGTGTTCCACCTTGGTTTGGAGGCAACGTCTCCAATTCACCTGGAGCTTGCAGAGCTGGCTTGTCTGTCTGGCCAACCTGAATCTTTCTGTCTCACTCTCTTTCTTCTGCCTTAGGAATTTTAAGAGCCTTATCCTTGTTCAGCATGGTGAGATAGACAGAAGTAAGGTCTCACACTTGAATGGCAGGCACATTCCTGACTGAAGGATCTACCTGGTCCTACTCAGTTCTTCTTACAATGTGGTCCCCTCCCCATTTTCTTTCTGATATTCTTTTAAAGAGCCAACTAAGCATTAATCTGTCCATATATTGGCAAAGTGGACATAATTAGACTTACTAAATTTTAACATCCCGTTTTGGCAAGTTGGCTCAGCTGTTTTAAAAGCACTTCTTCTTTTAGAGGACAGGGATTTGGTCCTTAGCACCCACAGGCAGTTTGCAATTGTCTGTAACTCTAGTTCTAGGCAATCTGATGTCTTCTTCTGACCTACATGAGCAACAGGCATGTACATGGGCCATACACACATATATGTATGTAAAACATTCATATACATAAAATAAAATAAATAAAATAATCTATTTAAAATTTTTAAATGACCCATCATTTCTTTTGCACACAGATATGTAGGCTTGCTTAAGATTTCATTTACTGAAAATACATAAACAGAAACAAAAGACACAGCCAAGGCAACCATCTGTGCCCTGTGTCTGAGGAAGTCTGTCTGTGTGAGACAAACATGGTATTGAGCCTTCTGAGGTGCTTGGACATTGTTAATTATTGACTTTTTAAATTGGCCTTCAGAAGGGGAAAAAAAAGGTGACTCAACAGTTTGAAATAACAAGGTAAAAATAAAGAAAATAAGGAATTAACTTCTTGCGAGAAATATGCTACTTTTAGTGACTGCTTGCCATATTCCAGAGCAGTTCTTAGCTTGTTAGATGACAATAATAACGACAAAAAGGACCATTAGCTGTTTGAAAATACCATGCAGAAGAATGAACGCTTCATAAATGTGCCCTGTAGCCAAAAGTCATATGAAAATAGGAAAAGCTACTCGTCAGTGAAAAGCTAAGTCTAGCCGTAATGAGAAGCCGTGGCACCCCTCTGACACCAGGTGTTGCTGACAAGAATACAGAGTAAGGGAAAGCCTCTTAGGCTACTGTGGACGGTAAATCTGCATAGCCACTTTGTACGGCCTAATGGCCAGCTAATCCATTCTTGGATATGAGCCCAGGAGAACTGAGTACATGTGTTCATTCAAGGAATGTACGGCTGTATATAGTACCGATGTTCTTAATCGTTCCAAGATGAAGACAGCCTGAATTCTTGTCAGTAGTACAATGTACCAAAGCGTGGGAGTGTGTTCGATGAAATCACACCACAATGTGAGGAAATTGACTCGTGCTGTGCATAGCAGTATTGATGAATTTCACAAGCATCAGCAGAAAATGAACTCAGGCCCAAGAGGAGATACTGTATTTTACCTCCTTAAATTTCAAAAATAGGTCAGCTGCTTGACGAGTTAGATGTCTGTGTGGTAGTGCTTGCATAGGGAGAGGCTTGAAGGAGACAGCCGGATGCTGGATACCCTGGGTAGTTATCGATCTGGGTGGCACTGCTTTCTGTTCGGAAATTGCTGAGCTCCTGGTGGTGAGTTGTTTTCTGTCTGTATCTTACGAGTTAGTACAGAGTGACAAGTAAGTAAGACCCATTTTCACAAAAATGCTGTTGAGAAGCTGGAATAATAATTATAATGTTGTAGGTTAGCGGAAGAGATTCTCCAGGAGACCTCAGATAGTAATCACTTTTGCCACCCTTGACCGCAGCCTGCATTCATCTTTGGGCTTATGTTTTTGTTTTCCGGTTATCTATTCACCAAATTCTTGGCCATTTGTTCATCGTCCAAAAGGTGAGGAGCTTCCTGGTTGTCTTGGAACTCCTCTTCGGTCCTCATAGTTCAACAATTTCTTACTAGGTCAAAATGCTTGTTGTGGAAACATGAGGACCCAGTTCCCTGGTACCTACATAAAAAGTTGGGCCTGGCTTTATGTGACTGTAACCCCAGAATTGGTGATGGAGACAGGCAAATCCTGGGAGGTTCCTGTCCTACTAGCCCAGCAGATACAGTGAGCTTCAGGTTCAGTGGGAAACCCTATCTATAGCATTGAGAGTGACAGGAGCAGACCCTGGGTGTCCCTCTATGACTTTTGCTCAGGTGCACCCACCCTCAGCCCACCCCATACTCCCCACCACCACCGTGCACCATGCAAACACACCACTCAAGTAAATAAAGATTTTGGTCATTATTTCAGAGAGCTTTTCCCTCTTCTTAAAGAAAACAACCCAGTGACAGTTTTTGTTTCTTAAACATTGTCATGACTAATTCTAATGTGATCAAAAAAAGATTGTAATTATTCAGTAAACTTTTGCACTTATAAGTGATATCATCTATATGAAATATGTTCAAATACTATTTATTAGTTAGTACAGAGGGAGAGCCACCACTGTCTTTTCCTCATTTGCCAGGCTAATAGCAGTGTTCCATACGGAGACCTGTTACATTAATACAGAAGAGAAGCCCCAGAGCGTGTGAACAATGGACAGAACTAGAAATTGTTCTTTGATCTTATACACATTTATGTCTGTGATCTTGACTGTCAAGGTTTCTTTTGTGCTTATGACCACATGAAACAAATGTATTTGTCCATTTGACTATCTGTTCTGGTGTAGACCAGAGAACGAGGGGCGTGATTGACATATCAATACATTTCACTTTCTCTCACTGAAATTGTAACAGCTTTTTCCTTTGAACATGTTTCTCTGAAATGATTAATTATGTTTTACTTTAGAATCTCTAGAGTATCCATTTGACAGTGTTTCAAATTATGACTACATTAGATTTTACCTTCGGCTTGCTTCTTTCTACTGCTAATATAAATC